ATGCCAAGTATCAAGACCACTTCAACACAACAGACCATACAGACCCACTGTAGCAGTGCGAAGAGTTACATACATAAGATAAGCCAAAGTATCCTTCAACACCACAGACGTATACAGACCCACTGAGCAGTGCGAAGAATTACATACGTAAGATATGCCCAAGTATCAAGACCACTTCAACACAACAGACGTATACAGACCCACTGTAGTAGTGCGAAGAGTTACATACGAAAGATAAGCCAAAGTATCAAGACCACTTCAACACCACAGATGTAAACCCTAAAACCCTAAGAGTTACATACGTAAGATAAACCAAGTATCAAGACCACGTCAACACCCGTGATCTCTCTCGGCTATCTAGTAGATCTATTCACTCCGACATCACCCTTATCCCTTTCCCACTCTCGGGTGCATTTGCAGCTTAGTTCGTTTTTATGGGACGTATAAGCATGTCATTATATTTATATTCATAAATAATCATTGTAGGTAGTCACAAGCACTCTGTCAGTGATGTGTAGGACATAGTCATCTATCCATAAATAGTCACTGTAGGTAGTCACAACCAATCTGTCGGTGATGTGTAGGACATAGTCATCTATCCATAAATAGTCCCTGTAGGTAGTCACAACCACTCTGTCAGTGATGTGTAGAACATAGTCAACTATCTATAACTAATCGTATTCGTATTTACAATTCTTCCTGTCAAAAACAGATCGCCAAGACCGAGTTCAATGCCTCGTGGATTATGATGACTGAGCCCGACACCTTCTTCACCACACACACACTCGCAACCATTGCCGAGCGATGCAGCGCAGAGGTCGCGCGCACCAAACTTTTCATTCCCACTGCCGGCTATTGTCCACCCCACAAAGGTATGTGTGTGGATATACGAGAGTTTATACAAAGGTATGTGTGTGGATATACGAGAGTTTATACAAAGGTATGTGTGTGGATATACGAGAGTTTATACAAAAGTATGAGTGTTTGATATACGAGAGTTTATACAAAAGTATGTGTGTGGATATACGAGAGTTTATACAAAATTATGAGTGTTTTATATACGAGAGTTTATACAAAAGTATGTGTGTGGATACACGAGAGTTTATACAAAGTATGCGTGTTTGATATACGAGAGTTCATTTAATAGCATGGGTGTTTGATATACGAGATACGACAAACAGTTGATGCACAGGTGGCTGTTTGCATCCTTCATGTAGTATCTATCAATATTTCAACACGGGAGGACGTACGTACCGAAATGGTTCTACCTACAGCTGGCCTCTGGTCATCCCGTTTAGGTAGTAGTGTCTACTTCCCTGTACTCTTACTGACTATCACCCACTCACACGCACCTCTCATTGTGCAGACGAAGTGCCGCTCATCCTGCAACAAAGCTTATCACAGCCGAAAACACTGGAGAAGGACTCAATCTCATTGGAGAACGGGCGTGTGGTGGAGAGTATTGTGGACAGGACAACGGACCACCCACCCACATACGCTGACGACGAAGACCTGCAATGGTTCACCCCACAGGTACCGAACTGTCCACTTGTTGTAGTTTGTTTTGTCCTGTGCTATTTTTAGACTCGACGTTTATAAGCTGGGGTGAGTGCCGTGAGATGCCGTACTCATGTACTGTGGTATGTTGCTGTGTGTGTGTTGGCCTGTGCTATTTTTAGACTCGACGTTTATATGCCGGGGTGAGTGCCGTGCAGATGCCGTACTCGTGTACTGTGGTATGTTGCTGTGTGTGTGTTGGCCTGTGCTA